TTTGCGGTTTTTTTAAATCTATTTATTTTAACAAACGCGAGCAAGGAAACAAAAGAAAAATACATCATTTGGCATGTGCTTCTGCTGTGCTGACAAACGATTTCTAGATTGCAACCACATTTTTAAAATGCATCCTCAGAAGTAAATAATAATACTTGTTCTTGCTAATTTTGCAAAATTACTTTCCTCTGCACTTGACACTTTTAGGTTCAGTCTCAAATATGTTGCCCATATAGAAGTAGTAAATGTGCTGAAGCCTGAAATATCACATAAAGCCGAATATGAAAAATGTGTAATGAAAATAAGACAGTAATAAATATAATTGGAATCTGTTTCGATCATAACAGGACAACAATCATGACCATCCATTGTGATATACATCAGTTTATACATGAGCATTTTCATGTGAGTATCAGATGTATTGTAGGCAGAAACAAGAGGATTTAAAATATATATATTTTAGATTTAATCCGGGTCATTTTAGTGATGTTAGAAGCTAAGCAGGAGCAGTTCAAGAAAGGATTTCAGGTTGGCTATTAGGTAATTCCAGACTTTCTGGTCAGGCAAGGATGTTGAAAAATATTTTCTGGTAGAAGAGGTTAACAAAAGATCTTCATAATGCTGTCAAGAAAATGGCATACTTGTGATCACCAAAAATCAAGATTGACTTCACCGTTTTAAGCTCATCAATCTTGACTAATAAACAGCATGTTTCCCTACTGCAAAAATACTACGCTGTTTTTCACGATCATAGTCTTCTTCGCTTCAGAATTTTGGTCTTCCAGGAAAGCCTCCAGAGAAAATAAACAGGGTTGAGTTAGTGGACGGAGCTCCTCACAGAAGTTAAATTTTACTGAGGTCACCTTTCCCCTATGAGGACATCCTGAGCTAGAAAAATCTGGCCCAGATTTTGGGAAATCGCCAGAAGGATGAAAATGCTGGTATACAAGGAAAAGGAAAAAGACCCTCCTCCCCTTTGACAGCTAACAATGATTCTTCGATCAACGTGGTTTCCATGAATGGCTGGCAGACCTGCCCATAATAGATTTCTGGGGTTTTGCTCGGAGGTCTTTATTTTTCATCCTTTTCTCGTTACCACATTTCTGCAATATAAAAGGCCTATAAAGGATAATATTCTCAGCTCAGGGTTGAAATGAAGGGTCCTTGGTGCTCTCTGCCCTTGGTGGTTTTCTTGCAGATGTTTCATGACCCAAATCATCAGTGCTAGAAGGGCGTGGGGTTTGCAGAGAGGAGGAGGAGGGAGGGAGGGAGGGAGGGAGGAGGAGGACTGTGGGATTCTTGGTGCTGTCTGAGCTTGGTGTCCATGGAGATTCTCAGTCATCCAGGTCATGGTTGTCCCAAAGGTGCTTTTTTTAAAGGGGCAACTGGACTTTGAAAAAAGCACCTTTGGGTCTGAGCTTGGTGGCTTTCCTGCAGACATTTCATGACCCAACTAGGGAACATCATCAGTGCTAATTAAGTAGCGTTATCTAGACTAGCACTGATGATGTTATCTAGTTGGGTCATGAAATGTCTGCAATCAAACAACCAAGCTCAGACAGCACCAAGGCCCTTTCATTTCAACCCTGAGTTATAAATATTGACTTTTTATATTGCAAAAGCATCAACTGTGTATGTCTGAGATGTACTTCCTGCAAGCCAAGGAGTACGTAGCATAAATATTCAGGGCAAGGAAACAGCTTTCCACCTGCTTTAAACAATTAATTTCATTCATTCTGTTATTTTAGCAGTCTATTGGTGGGAATGCAAAGAGTTACCTTAGTTTGGCCCAGCCTGGAGACAGTGAGCCAAGTATGGTATCTGCCTGTCCCTCTTTCCAAAGCAACAGCAGAATAACAGAGTCGGAAGGGACCTCGGAGGTCTTTTAGTACTCAAGTAGGAGACCTGAAACCATTCCAGCCAAGTGTCTGGAATATATCCAAATATATCCAAATCCCATTGTGCCCATGTTTTGGATACATAAGACGGGCCTTCTGGTTCCATTGGAACCACAATCATTGTCTTGAACGCTCATTTCTGATGTCTCTGGAGAGTCTCCGTCATCCAGGCCCATGGTTGACCCAAAGGTGCTTTTCCAAGAGGCAACTGGACTTTCTGGCTTTTCTCTGAAGACGTTTCGCTTCTCATCCATAAAATAAAAAGCGAAACGTTTTCAAAGAAAAACCAGAAAGTCCAGTTGCCTCTTGGAAAAAGCACCTTTGGGACATATCTGATGTCTTGTACCAACCCAAACAGCATGGAGAACCAAGAACATTGAGCTGTTTTCATTTGCATTGAAATCTCTAGAGTTTGGGGCTTGAAACGTATGCCTCGAAATCAACAACACTTTGGGGGAAACACACACACACAGAGACACACCGCTCCAAAAGCCAAGCGCAACAAAAGCCCAAAGTCAGTTCTTGGTGAGCAGAAATCACCCCGGTTTCCAGAACTGCCACATGCAGAGTTTTGCAGCTGGAGTTTTGCCAAGTCTAAAAGGCTCCTGCGCTTTCCACCTTAAATGGATTTTATCAGATTTTGCTCTGCTAAGCTCATGCTAATATTGGCTCCAATAAAGAACAAATCGGGCGCCCGACTCAACTCATCTTATCGCGCAGTCAAAACTGATGGCTGCAGAAGTCATAAAGATCCCATTTAATCTCTCGCCTATCTATCACCAGGAACGTCTTTATCCCTTTTCGCAAGCGGTGGTCATATCTGCTCATTACGAAAGCAAAACAGAGCTGGCATGCATAAAAGGAGGGAATGAAGTGCTCACTTTGATTTTGACAGCATGATCAGTGGGAGCAGTAATCTGTGAGAATCAAAAGGGCCTACATTATTCCATAAGCGTAATTTGAGGGAACAGCTCAGAGCACACACATCTGCCTTCATATATTGTGACTTGCGCTGATAAAACATCCGTCCTCATTTACTCTCTCTGTGCTTGGCTAATCTCCAACAGCCCTCCCGATGTCTAATCACGCCATCAGAGGGGAGAGAAGAGCCTCAATTGAGACTCAAATGAAAGAAGATTGGAAAACTATCTTCAATTGAAATTACATTTGTAAATGAACCATCTTTTCTGTTAGGTTCTTTTTTTTTTTTCCTTTCCCCCTTTCCTTTCCCCAACACCCTCTTGCTCAGATTGTGTTATGCTAAATCTGTCTGGAGAAGTAGCAACGTGTTGTTGGACTGTATTTATTCCATTACCCGGGGTGTAAAAAATCATCGCGGCTTAGGAGTTGTCGGGCCTGTTTGCAAGCAGGAGATGATTTTATGGGTATTGCGAGCCTCTCCACTTTGTGTGTGTTTTCTTTTTAATTGTGTGCTATGCTGCTGGGGGATGAGGAAAGGTCAGGGCACAGATGTTTCCATTAAATAAACAACTCATTATCGCATTAACCTAATGTAATTAGCTACATCATTACCAAATACCAAAGACCTCTGGATGCATCACACTATCTGTGCAATCATAGCTTTGTGTGTTGTGTTTACACGTGCAGGACAGACCGATTTGTTCTTTGTCTCCGTACAGATATTGATTTCAATATATATTTCATTTTAAACTCTCTCTCTCTCCGCTCTCTCTCAATGGCTGTGATACTGCCGTGAAGAAGCACAATTTTTGTCTGGACAATAGTTATCCTAAAGGAAATTAGTGATTAACTAGGGCTTTTTTTCCCCCACAGTCCATCATCTTATAGATATATTGTCATACCACGGACACAACGATGTGCAACTGAGTCTTTAAATAAAAAATAAAAGCAGCTAACTGTGGGGAAAAAAAACCCAATCTCTGATAGAAGAAGAAGAAGAAGAAGAAGAAGAAGAAGAAGAAGAAGAAGAAATATGATGGAGAGAGGGAGACAGACAACAAAGATGAAATGATAGATGCTGAGGAAAGATAGATGAGAGAGAGACAGACAGACAGACAGAGACATAGACAGACATAGATGATAGATGATAGATAGATAGATAGATAGATAGATAGATAGATAGATAGATAGATAGATAGATGGATGGATGGATGGATGGATGGATGGATGGATGGATGGATGGATGATAGGAGAGAGAAAGAGAGAGAGAGAGAGAGCTGATGATGACAAGAGGGACAGAGAGCTATAGGAGAGACAGACAGACAGAACAATCCTTGGCTTGCAGCGTGATTTCCCGTGCTGGATACAAAAACTCGAGAATGTCTCTTTGCAACTCGAGGATGTCTCTTTGCAACTATGCTGACACCTGCTGTGCCCAGCATGTGTCCAGACAGAAGAGCCGCCTCCGTCCCATATTTGGGTGGACCAGGTTGCCCCAATTAAAAAAAAACACTTAAATGATTGCTAAGATCTTTTGCAAGCCCTTTATTCTATAACTCTAGAAGATTCAGCAAGGGAGGTATTTCCATTAAGGTCAGGAGGATGCTAGAGAAGACATTCTGACTGAGTCATCTGCAGTATTTACTGTTGATGCTTCTATTTTTAGTTCTTCTTCTTTTTTTTTTTTTGGAGGAACTGAAAAATGGAAGCTTTATAAAAGGCGCTGAAGCCATCAGTATAATAGAGCTGTGTGTGTGCATTATATTAGGAGCGGAACCAAGGCACAAAAAGGAGGAAGCAGGATTTAAAAACAAGGCAAATTTGGAGTTCTCTATATAGAACTGGTCTGGTCTCCAAAATAACATCATCACAATAGAACAGGAAAGGGAGAAGGAACTGTTCTATAGAGGTTCTCCCTAAAGGGCCTGTGGGCAGATTTCTAAAGAAACGTGAACAAGGCCGCAACCAAAAATAACCTACAATTTGGGTACCAGCCTAGGCCAGCGGCAAACCTCTGTAAGACTTCGGGCTAAGCTCTCTGTCTCGTTGCAAAATTCTTTTTACAAGGAATGTGTAAGATACAGGAGAAAAAGGGGCTTAGCTAAAGTTGCAAAGGAAAAGAAATCTTTGTCGTAACCTTGAATCGTCATTAAGTGGTCATAAGTCAAGAACTGCCTGTAATTTTTTTTTTAACATTTCTTTATTTTTATTGCAAAGCACTCTATTAAAAAAAAAATACATTCAGGTACAAAGAAATTGGAAGCAAAAATATAAAAAAAGGAATGAGTTTTTGGTTTAGAGGTATCTATGAGAAATGTGCGTCAACCCACCCACCTCAAAATGGCGTCCGCAGCCATGTGATTAAAGCTCCGCCCCTTCAACTGCACAGCCGCCATCTTGACTTTTTTGATAGACCCTCCCCATAAAACAACCCTGTTTTGGATCCCTTCTCTTCATAATCTACTGCTACAGCAGTTCAAAGTGCATCGAAGGATCAACAATATCAACGACAAAGAAATGTACAAAAGCGAAATAAGGAATGCCTCTTTTTAAAAAACAACAACAACAACAATGTAGTGTAGCACAGAATTGCCTTTGGGGCTCGAAAGACTAAGAGGGAAGAAGGACAAGTCCATTTCACAGTTGATTCTCCAAACGATGGCCCCGTAACAAAGCTTGGATCTCGAGTGAGCCTTGGGAAGTGACTGAAAGATCAATCTTAGTCCGCCATAAGGTGAGCAATTTTGCACCAGATCGGAGGACTTCATTGCAAAGATTTACACAGAAAAAAAAAGTCTCTGCTCCCCTTTAAGATCTGTTCTCCAGGAACCCAAACTTCAGATGTTCAACCACTATTTCTTTTCTCCCCCACCATCCTGAAACGGGGCATTTGCAGCCAGCTCTCCTAAGGTCATCTGTAGAACTTTCATTGACCAAGGAACATTACACCACGTCTTCCAAAGAAAACAATTAGGTGGGGTTTTGTTTTGTTTTAAAAAAACCAAAAAACAGACCATAATTGTTTAAAGAAACAGGATGCAACTGAATGAGTGGGGGGAGCAGGAAACAAACAATGTAGGTCAGGGACAAATGTGTACAGAAAAAAAGGAACTTTCTCTTTTTTAAAAAAAAAAAAAAGAGAGAGAATATAATAAATAAATATTCTTCAACTATTCTGAAATATAATAAGGGTTTTCCCCCCAAAAGTTTATGACCTACAGACCTGGACAGCTTTAACTGGCACTTAACTATTTTATTCAATAAGCAGCAGTAACACCAACAGAAGTGGTGGGGAATTGAAAAGACCATTTTCTCAAGCTGGACTCCTGGACAAACATGGGACCAACCCCGTTTGACAAATGGACAGACGGGAAGGAGTTAACTTGTTGAAAAGTCACCAGCTAGTCTTCTGGCAAGAAAACTTATAAAAATAGACCTTGTAAATGCTAATCTACCTCTAGGCAAAAATCATCTTTCTTTTTTCGAGGTTAGATTAGTCAGGTCTCAAGGCCGCCACAAGGTTTTCCCATGAAGATGATTCCATGTTCTTCCCGATATATTTACTTATGGTGTTATTGGTCCATTGTAGAACCACCCATCTCAACAAGGGAAACGGAGGGTATCCATCATTTTTCCTTCTCCGGAGTCCTCTTCTTCTTTCTTTGCCTCCAACCAGCTGTCAAGAAAATGTCAAGGACAGGCTGCTTTGAAAGACCATCTGCACTGACCTTTGAGCTTCAGGAAGGTTCAGTTCTACAACCATCTGAAGTCTGAGATGTCTTCAGCAGAGATGCTCCTGAATATTCAGCCAAGGAGGGGCATGTTGTGAAAGTCTTTATTGGATGGTGAAGACGATGGCTATCATATGGAGTAACCCCAGCCAGAACGATAAAGATGGCACGGAGGCAAGTCCTACTGATTTTACATTCTTGAACTTACTGTCCTGAGAGGGATTCTTCAGGCATTTAGTTATGACTGTCTGATGGAACCAATCTTCTTTAGACACGCAGGAATACTCGCCATAGAGCTCATTGGTCATGTTGTCAATGAAATGAAGGCAGTGACGGTGCCCAGAGGTGCAATGGGCAACTGTCCGATTATTGTGAATCCAAGTATAATCGGCATAATGAGATTCTTGAGAGCAATTCAGGAAACAGCGGGCATTTAAGGTCACGATTAAGTCTTCCTTTGAGGACGGACTGCTGCTGTCTCCTGAGGAGAAGGAAGGAAAGAAGGAAGGAAAGGGTCAATGGTGGGACGGATTGGGCCTCTCTGTCTCCTTTTGTGAATATTTCTCATCTCCTTTTAAATAACAGAATAACAAGGGACAGTCATGGAGAGACCTCTAGATAAATTCTCAAAGGGGTTCTTCTGGACCCATCAGAATGAGTCCATCAGCCTATTTGGAAATAAACCATTTCCTAGTTCAATACAACTGTTACAACTGTAGTTGTATACTTGGTTACACAGAAAGAGAGAGAGAGAGAGAGAGGGTACAGATGTAAAAAATAGAGGAAGAAGGCTTCCAAGCAAGTGGGAATGGCTAATTTTTAAAAAATCCACTTTTGAATGTTGACGCTCAAATTTAAACTAGGTTTTAAATTTCAATCCACTGCTACTTCAACACTTTGTCTGGTGGCCATTCTTTCTACCAAAACCTCATTCCCCCCCACCCCCCACCCCTACCTTCCTCCTTCTCCTAATTCCTTATGGGCTTTTAAAAACATCTTTTCACAGATTTTTCAGGAAACATCTCCTGCCTTCTTAAGTGTGTTTTTTAAGTATGCTCAAGTTTGTTTATGAATATTACCTTCAGAGTTGTTTGAAGTAGGACAAATGTTTCGAGGGACATCATGTCTTAGAGACTGCAATAAAGTTCTAAAAAAAAAAAAGAAAGAAAAATCAAGTTAAACTTCAAATTCCTTCATAAATTAGGCCATCATAGGATCAGCCTGCTGCAACTCCATAAAAGATATACAGTAATCACATAATTAAGATCATGGCATCCGGCTCTCTCAATTCCTGGCAAATAGATGGGGAAGAAATGGAGGTAGTGACAGATTTTATTTTCCTGGGCTCCAAGATCACCACAGGTGGGGACTGCAGCCAAGAAATTAAAAGATGCTTGCTCCTGGGGAAGAAAGTCATGGCAAATCTAGACAGCATTCTAAAAAGCAGAGACATCACCCTGCCAACAAAAGTGCGTATAGTCAAGGCTACGGTTTTCCCAGTTGCAATGGATGGCTGTGAAAGTTGGACCATAAGGAAGGCTGAGCGCCAAAGAATGGAGGTCTTTGAACTCTGGTGCTGGAGAAGACTCCTGCGAGTCCCTTGGACTGCAAGGCGATCCAACTGGTCAGTCCTAGAGGAGATCAACCCTGACTGTTCTTTAGAAGGTCAGATCCTGAAGAGGAAACTCAAATACTTTGGCCACCTCATGAGAAGGAAGGACTCCCTGGAGAAGAGCCTAATGCTGGGAAAGATTGAGGGCAAAAGATGGAGGGGACGACAGAGAATGAGATGGTTGGATGGAGTCACCGAAGCAGTTGGCATGAGCTTTAATGGACTCCAGAGGATGGTAGAGGACAGGAAGGCCTGGAGGAACATTGTCCATGGGGTTGCGATGGGTCGGACACGACTTCACAACTAACAACAACAACAAGTCACATAATTATTTATATTTGCTTAGCGGGTCAAAAAAAAAAAAGCTGAAGATTCACAATCAGAATGTTTCATTGTCTTATCAGAAGGCCTTGTTCTCACACATTTTTACCCCGTTGCTAGATTAACCACTTTTCTTGGTTTGTATAATACACTAGCTCAGCGGTAATCTCTTTGGGTTGGGTTCATGCAAGAGATAAGCCAAAACATTAGCCAAGGTCAACGCTGACCAAGCTTAGCATGTGGGAATATAGCCCATGAGATCTTTACCTGACCTGGTGGACCAGAGTTGCATGAATACACCCAATTGAGAAAGTGACATCACACTTATGTTTTAGAAATGCTTGTCTGCGTTAAGAAGCTCTGGAGATCTCAGCCATCCCATGTTGCCATCACACAAATTATATAAATTATGGAACCTACCCATTTTTGTGCTCATTAATAGAAGTACATTTCTCATTGATCCATCCACAGTAAGGATCTCTGGACAGCACACAACTCCCACAGTTGTTCTTATATGCCCCACAAGAAGCCATGGGGAGCTGCACCACCTCGTTGGCTGAAGCCACAATCAATTCATTCTGCAAAATAAAACAAAGGAGCCACTGAAATGAGCTTTCTTGACCATCAAGATGTGGAAAATGGGCAGATGTCCCAAGGTCATGAAACTCAGACTTGAAGGCCAGAAGGATCGATGACAAGGGAAGGCCAGAAGGATCGATGACAAGGGAAGCTAGAAACAAGGATCCAACAATAGATGGACACTCATATGTGGACCACTCTTAGATAAATTCAGGAGTGTCCTCACTGCATGATGAAAAAAGTCAAGATGGCCACTACAATCGAAGATCCACCTAGTTGTAATGTGTGTCACAGTTGCGGAGACCTCTAGATAAATTCTCAAAGGAGTTCTCTGAACCCATCAGAATGAGTCCATCAGCCTATTTGGAAATAAACCATTTCCTAGTAGTTCGATACAACGGTTCCAACTTTAGTTGCATACTTGGTTACTCACAAACACACAAAAAACCATAGGGTACCGATTTGAAAAATACATGAGATGAGAAATCAAAACACCATGTAGTATGGGAAAAGTGGTACGAATGGTTAAACAACAGGATAAAATCATGATTTCAGGATATGCTTATTTCTTGCAATTTAAGTTTGAAGTATACCTGATGTATATTTTGTAAATATGTACAAACACTGCACTTCTGATTTTAGTAGAGACTTGATGTTTTTTGTAACTATAAAACTAATAAAGTATATTTTAAAAAAAAGAAAGAAAGAAAAAGAAAAATACAGGAAGAAGGCTTCCAAGCACGTGGGAATGGTTAATTTTAAAAAAAACAAACCACTTTCAAATGTTGACGCTCAAATTTAAACTAGAGTTTCACCCAGGATATCTAGAAGCTCCTGCATATCCTGAAGACATTTCAGCTCACCCCCTCGTTTCCCCCCAGCAATAAAATGTCTCCTATTTGTTTCGGACACACACTGTCCATAGAGAACAACAAGCCAATTTAAAGCCATGATTCATTTTAACTGTGGTTTGCTGAACAAGCCATGTTGGCTACCTTTACAAAACAAAAAAAGCTTTAAGCTATATATGCCAGTTTACAAAGAAAACGAAGCTGAGTTCAACACATACTAAGTCAGAACTTTGGTTTAGAACTCTGGAACTCAGGTTCTTCTGTAGCCTAAGATCATGGCTGAGCCCCATCATGATAAAATCATGGCATCTTTCTTACCCTTGTCTTGTCTAAAATCATGGCGAGGATGACCGCCTGGGACTGGAAAGGGTGGATTTCCAGGATGTTCATGGGTCCCTTTGGTAAGATGACCACTTTATGGATGCTTCCTTTGTCTGTGGGTGGGATGAGGAGAAAGAAGGATTGGAGAGATGAAGAAAGGGACATGGATGGAGAGAACTGCTACTGGTGGAACAGGTGATAAGATTCAAGTGCGCTTTGTGGCGATCACGCGCAAAGCGTGTGCATAAAGAGAATCGGTAGTAAAGCCGGTTAGAACCCACCACTGGTGGGAACTAATCAAGGAGAGAAGCAACTTAGAACTAAGGAGAAATTTCCTGACAGTGAGAAAAATCAACCAGTGGAAGAACTTGCCTCCAGAAGTTGTGAATGCTCCAACGCTGGAAGTTTTTAAGAAGAATTTGGATAACCATTTGTCTGAAGTGGTGTAGGGTTTCCTGCCTAGGCTGGGGGTTGGACTAGAAGACCTCCAAGGTCCCTCCCAACTCTGTTATTCTGATTGCTTTGTCGGTTACCTGTGGCTAGGTACAGAACATCGTAGTTCTCCTTATCCGCCGCCTGAACCTGGTGGACTCCAAGTTGCTGGTAGCGATGTTTGCTGTAGAAGATGATTTCCCCATTCATTTGGGCAGCCACCTCTGGATAGCTGTCGATCACTTTGAAAGTCTCGGGTGGAGTCTTCTCAGTTCCTTGTAGACACTGTCAAGAAAGATACAGCAGGGATGATCAGGAGATGGATGAAGAAGAACTTCCATAGAGACTAGAGGTGAAATTCAATTTTTTTTTCTACTGGTTCTGTGGGCATGGCTTGGTGGACATGGTGTGACTTGCTGGGCGTGGCAGGGGAAGGATACTGCAAAATCTCTATTCCCACCCCACTCTGGGGCCAGCCAGAGTTGGTATTTGCTACTCAAAATTTCCGCTACTGGTTCTCCAGAACCTATCAGAACCTGCTGGATTTCACCCCTGATAGAGACCCAATGCTACATGCTCTTTGGGCTTACTAAATGCTGAATAGGTTTGCAGGTTTCTAAGCCACAAGGACTGGAGTCCTCTTTTCAGAAAGACCAAAGCAGTGGGGATACTCAACAGCTAATACTGCACGTGCCCAGCCTTTTCACAAACCTGACAGGGATAGGGAGGATGGGAGTACATTCAAATACTTCCGAAAAGGCACCAAGGGTTGGATAGGTAGGTAGATTGTATAGACAGGAAGGTAGAACAGAGTCAGGGCAGGAAAAGAAATGGGTGATTGGGTGGATTGAGGAAGGAAGGAAGGAAGGAAGGAAGGAAGGAAGGAAGGAAGGAAGGGGATGGATGCCTAGAGAGAGAAAAAGGTGAGATGGGTGGAGAGATGGTTGAATTATGAGGGGATTGGAGAAAATGAGACGAGGGTTTGTGGGTGGGTGGGTGGATGGATAGAAAATGAGAGAGAAAGAGGGATGACAATGGATAATTGGGTGCATGAATAAAAAAACAGAAAAGTGGGATGGACAGATGGATGGATGAATAGTGGAGGGTTCAGATAAAGAAAGAAATGGTGGATGGATGGATGGAGGGAGGGAGGGAGGGAGCTCCAGTTTGTTCCAGTGAAACACGGGGCGGGGGGGTGCTTTAAACTGGAGTAGACAAGTGTTGAGAAGAGAACTTCTCATATATGTTCCATGGGTGACTACTCTGAGAGAAAAAACAAAAAGGAAAACTTGTACTACGTTCATTTTCTGAAGCTAAAATTCCCCGGGGTAATTTGGACTTGATAGACAGAGCGTGGCGTGCAATGCAGTTTTAAACAAATGCTTTGTGGAATTCTGGCAAATTACATACACATGTAAACGACTAAGAACAAATGAAATTAAATACGGAGACGCTGAAGCCACAACCTCAACCCAACCCAAGTAAATCCATTAGTGAGTTTATATTTCTGGCACGCACTTCTACATCTGCAATAAAAAAATAAGTGGGAAAAGACAGGATGGAGAACATTGCCCTCTGCTTTTAGACATGATTGTTTAGTCACTAAGAGCCGTGGTGGCGCAGTGGTTAGAATGCAATATTGCAGGTGAATTCTGCCGACTGCCAGCAGTTCGATTCTCACCGGCTCAAAGTTGACTCAGCCTTCCATCCTTCTGAGGTCAGTAAAATGAGGACCCAGACTGTTGGGGGCAAGAGGCTGACTCTGTAAACCGCTTAGAGAGGGCTGTGAAGCGGTATATAAGTCTACGTGCGATTGCTATTACTGTATATCTCATAGTCTCCAAACTGACTACATGTTGGAAGGATCAAATTTCCACTCAACATTCACCACTGCTTTTTACCTGTCCTGGCCTCACAGCAGGGGTTTTCCCACTGTAGTTTTTCAGGGGAGACGTTTTGAAGCCTTCGCTGATGTCACTAACAGAGTAGACACAGACTGCCGAGTAACCCCTGTGGAAATGAGACACAACAAGGAATCAGCCTTCCATCAATGGCAACTCTTATCTGTATGGCTTTATATTAGATTATGGCCAATATGAGATTATGGCCAGTGGTGGGTTTCAAATTTTTTTACTATCGGTTCTCTGTGTGGCTTGGTGGGCGTGGTTTGATGGGCGTGGCATGGCTTGGTGGGCGTGGCAGTGAAAGGATACGGTAAAATCTCCATTCCCTCCTGATCAGCTGGGACTTGGGAGGCAGAGAATAGATGGGGGCGGGGCCAGTCAGAATTTTTACTACCGGTTCTTCGAACTACACAAAATTTCCGATACCAGTTCTCCAGAACTGGTCAGAACCTTCTGAAACCCACCTCTGATTATGGCCCAATAAAAGTGAGGCCCTTGCCATAATTCCAGGCCGCATGGATAAGATAGGGAAGAAGGAAAGAAAGTTCCTGCAAGGGAAAGAAGGTTCTCGAAAGTCAACCAGAAGTCCTCTGGTGGTGATGTATGGTCGAAGAACAGAAGACTCACCACTCGTTGAGGAAAAGCCCGTAGATCTTTGTCTGAAGCCACTTGTCTGACTCAACGATAAAGACGTCTTGAAGCCAGTCAAAGTTTCGGTTAGTGGCCGAGTCCACACAGACCAACATGGACTTCAGGAGAGTTGTCCACTTGGCTGCTGAAAAGGAACCATTGCCTCCTTTGTCGCCCTGCAGAGAGAAGGGGGGGAAAAGGGGGTTACTAGGAGAGTAGCAAACAAAAACCACCATCTCCTGAGCTTTGGGTGGCCCTTCTAATCTTTTTTTGAAAACAGAGAATTGAACTTGATCTTTGCAGAAACCATTTATGGCTCAAGGTCAAAAACTAATCAGAGGTGCACAAAACTACAGTTCAGGTATAAAATCTTCCAGGAGGGTGAGAAGACTCAAACTGGGTTCATGCATTCTGCTAAGGAATCATTTGTAGGAGACGAGCAGGCAAAGCTAGGGGGGAGGAGTTAAATGTGTCATTAGCTTAGAATCGTTGCGTTCCCACAAGCACTCCAACTCCAGTCCCTCCTGAATTCTATTGACCCTCAATCTGGTGCCAATTTAGGGTTGAACTTTAGCTGACCGGATCCTTGTGTACAACTTTGAATAAATCTTTTATGTTGCAACCTGCTCCTGATTCTTTGCTCCTGACATCATTGATTGAAGAAGCCACCATGACTTGAATTTAGCTGTGGCTCTAAGCCATCGACTCCACTGGTTGCTGCAGGGCCCATAGCAAGCCACCACGAGGTCACAATGGCCGGTTGCAATACCGTTATTGCGCCATTGATGCAGTGGTATGCCATCGAATGACTTCCACTTATTGTGGTGTCTGATGCAAGTACAGGAGCCAAAATTGTTTGCATCACGATGTGCTTGTCATCGTTCACGCAGGATTGTTGAGGGTCATGAGGGCTTGGTTCCCACCAAAGTTAAGCTACCAACATAGCTTACAAGTCTTTTCAAAACCCCTTCTTCACCTTGCACACTTGAGCCACCCTGGAGATCTTCCTTGGGGCCAAAGGATTATTTGGCCAGTCAGGGTTGTCCTCTCGGAAGAAGAAGTAGATCTTGTCGTCGTAGGCCTCTTCTTGTTGGATCGGCGCCATCTTCACAAACTGTGGATCTGGCAGGAGGGAAAAAGGTGGAGCCGGTGAGATTAGAAAGAAAGCACTGGGCCTGAGCAGATCCTTCAGGTCAGAACCTACACAAAACACCCATGCCTGGTCAACCCTTTTAATGTTCATGCAATATGTTTAACCAAATCAAGGGAAAAAACCATTTAGGTGCATTAATTTCACACAGCAAGCTAGGTTAGGGTTAACCTTGGTAAAGCTTTGGAGCTTACCAAGTTGTGCAAATACAGAATTACGGATTAAGTTGATCTCAAGATCCAACAGTACCAAGACATCAAAGAATCTAGGTTTGCATCGTCTGTTGAGCCCTCCCTGAATCTACCAATTACCTAAGGTCCAACCATCCTTGAAGGTTTACACAGGAGATAAAGGTCTTTCCATCTACGAAGACAAGTTAACACTTCTGAAATCCACAGCCTTCTCTGAACTTGACTACCCCTCCCTTCTGTGCATGGAAGGTCCCCTTTGGGCTCTGTTACATCAAGGCTTAAAGGCCAAGTTTGTAAATAGAGGAACGCCAACTCCCTGCAGGGGAGGAAGCCCAGTTTGTTCTGTTTGGAAAGGCCCCCGAGCTGGGAACGGAAAAGTCCTCCAGAGGGACCTAAGGAAGGAACCTTGAATCATCTGCAGCTCCTCAGCAGAGGTTTCCGACCTTGGAGAACTCATCCTCCATGACGTTCATTACACAGGAGACACCTTGATGGCTCTTTCTTGTTCCATCGAACTCCTCCGGGCAAGAGTTGTGTTTGTTTTGAGTTTTCCTCCATAACCCCAAAGCTCATCTTCTACTTGGTGGGGGCTGGAGAAACCAGTCTTGCAAACAGTGGAATCCATTTCCCATACGGAAGAGAAGATTAAACCCCTTTGAGATCGGAGGCCTCCTTGGCAAGACCACTCTCTGATGAGTTATGGTCGCAGCAACCTTGATCTGTACCAGTTCTGGGTAGCTGGGAACCACTATTTTAAGAAGGGCACACAATGCCCCCGTTATCTGTCAATACAGAGCACTATGGGAAAATTGAAAGGGTGGCCTTCAACCTCCTTGAAAAGAAGTTTTTGAGGACTCCTTGAAAAGGAGCTTCTGAGTGGACCAATTGGGATTTATTTATTTATTTATTTATTTATTTATTTATTTATTTGTTGGTTGGTTGGTTGGTTGGTTGGTTGGTTGGTTGGTTCGATTTATATGCCGCCTTTCTCCGGAGACTCAGGGCGGCTTACAATGCATTAAGCAATAGCCTTCATACTTTTGTATATACCTGTTTAGTAGGGCTTTCGCACCCCCCCAAGCGGTGTTCTTTTTTATACAAAGTCAGCTTATTGCCCCCATAATCCGGGTCCTCATTTTACCTACCTCGAAAGGATGGAAGGCTGAGTCAACCTTGAGCCTGGTGAGATTTGAGCTTGCAGTAATTGCAGGCAGCTGGTGTTACTTAACAGCACTTTTAGTCTGCTGCGCCACCAAGGCTCTTATTTGACTAGCCCTTCTGCCATGCAACCAACCCTCAATGCAAGTCATGTTCTCACAGAATTAAAATTAGAATTAGAATTCTTTATTGGCCAAGTGTGACTGGACACACAAGGAATTTGTCTTGGTGCCTACGCTCTCAGTGTACATAAAAGAAAAGATACGTTCGTCAAGAATC